AGATATAAACCTTACTTTCCATGTAGACACGGTAAGGAGTAATGAACTAGATATAAACCTTACTTTCCATGTAGACATGGTATGGAGTAATGAACTAGATATAAACCTTACTTTCCATGTGGACACGGTAAGGAGTAATGAACTAGATATAAACCTTACTTTCCATGTAGACATGGTATGGAGTAATGAACTAGATATAAACCTTACTTTCTATGTGGACACTAAATGATCTAAATCCTTTTGTAAATCAGCAGAATCCTCTTCACAGTTAGCAACACCCAAGACCTTAATATCATCTGCAAATGTAAGTAATTTATTGACTGTTCCTTCATCTATGTCACTGATGTAAATCAGTGAGAGCAGAGGTCCTAAGATTGAGCCCTGGGGTACCCCACTTGTGGCATTAATCCAGTTTGACTGAACTCCATTTGTAACAACCCTCTGCTTTCTTCAATCCAGCCACTCTTCTATCCAATTTGCTAACTTATCCCCCACACCTATAGAGCTAATATTTTTTACAAGCCTTTTATGTGGCACCTTATCAAATGCTTTCTGAAAATCCAGATACACCAAATCTACACCCTCACCCTCATTTACATAAGCAGAAACATATTCAAAGAATGTTAAAAGATTTGTAAGGCAAGATTTTTCCTTAGTGAAACCATATAGACTATCCAATAAAATTCTAAGCTTTGTTAAATGACTTTGCAAACATCTTTTAACAGACTTTCCAAACCTTTTCCCACAACTGATGTAAGACTAAGGGGTCTGTAATTACCGGGACAATTTTTATCACCTCCCTAGAAAAGAGGAGATACATTAGCTAACTTCCAATCCTGCCAAAAATCCAAGGACTGACAAAAAATAGTAATAAGTGGCTCACATATCCAATCTTTAACCTCCCTGTAGAAATATTATCTGGCCAGGAGCCTTATTGTTTTTTAAACTTCCCAATTTGTTAATAAACAGCTCAGAATTAATCCAGTAATCTAGTTCGATCTTGTTTCCATCTATCAACCGTTCAAGATGTGGAATATTGCTTAAATATTCATTAGTAAAAACGGAAGAAAACGTGAAATTTAATAACCCAGCCATCTCATAATCATCAGATACTAGCCTTTCTTTATCATCACTCAAGGGTCCTACCCCTCCTGACTGTTATTTTTTACATTTTCAGCCAACCTTTTCTCATACATTCTTGTTGATGTCTTAATTTCCTGCTTCACCAATTTTCTTTATCTTCTATAAGCTTCTAAATCTCTTGTCATACCAGTCAATTTAAATTTCTTAAATGTATGATGCTTTTCTTTAATTTTATCCCTTAAACTATTTGTGAGACAACCTGGTTTTCTACTTGCAGCTACCGCTTTCTTTCTATAAGAAATATGTTTACCTTGAATGTTTGAAAAATTATCTTTAAAAATTTTCCACATATGATCAGTGTCTCCAAATAATTCAGCTGCCCAATTCACAACAAATAATTCTTGTTGCATCTCTTCAAAATTTGCTTTTTTGAAATTTATAACCAAAATATCATTATTCCTTCTCTCCATCTGCAGCAAAACATCGAACCTAATAGAGCAATGATCACTTGCACCCAGATGTTCCCTAATTTTCACCCTCTCCCTCATGGTTTGACTCTAGAATTTCCCAATCTATATGTCTGTATTTGAAATAACCCATAATTATAACTTCATTAACAGCTGAAATCTTAATCTCATTGTAAAGTTTCTAACTAATTTCATCAGTATCATTTGATAGTCTGTAACAAATTCCCATTAAAAGCCTTTTCCCTTTATATCCACTAATAGAAACCCAAGTGGATTTAATATCTTTGCTATTATCTTTGATATCCTAAAAATGTAACTCACATTTAACATATAAAGCCCCTCCTACCCTTTCTTTAATACTCTATCCCTGTTAAATAGCCTGTAACCATGTATTTCAAAGAAATTTCTGTCATCAAAACCATCTACGTTTAACTATGTTTCAGTTATTCCCATTATATCAAAATCCTTCATTCCTACCAGTGCTCTAAAGTCATCTATTTTATTTCTTATACTTCTAGCAATAAAATAGCATCAAATAAGCCTATCCTTATAACTGCTTCTATACTCATTTCATATAGTAAAGTTTTATCTGCTTCTTATTCTTTGATATTTAGTTTTTCATGGCCCTTACCACTGTCTAGTCCCAGTTTAAAACATCCCTTACAGCTGAGTTAATAGCCTTAGCAAACAAGTCATCCCATACTCTATTTAAATGTAAACCATCCATTCCAAAAAGCTCCCTTCTTCCACTGAATTGATCCCACAAGTCCAACCAGCCAATTTGCTCATCCTTACATACTAACCTAAGCCTAGCATTTAGCCCTAATGACCTACTTATAACTTCATCCCCACAGTTAATTCTGGGCAGTATCCCTGACAGTGTTAAGTTATGGCCATTTTCTTTAAGTGCCTTTATCAACCCCTTATATTTATTAATTAGCTTCTCTGACCTACCTTTTTCTATATCATTAACCCCTACATAAACTGCATCTCTGCTAGCCCCTTATATTATATCTCCTGCTCTGTCAGTTATATCCTCCACCTGTGCCCCCTATGTAGCATAACCTGATTCTTTTCTCCCTATTTACCCCACAGGCTATTCTATCCACATGCGTTTTCAATGAATCACTTATAACTATAACCTCCTTATCATCCACATCTTTCTCTGACCCTTTTGTTTTCCTTCCTTCCAATAGTTCTTCATCTGCAGAAGCCAAGGGCTGGAATCTGTTGCTCAACATAATAGGCTAGTTATAATAAAATTCACTACTTTTTACTCTAATGGTACTCTTTCTAACTTCCTGAAAGTCATTGTTTGCTGATGTATCCCTTGCATGTAAAAGCTTAAGCTCCTCCTGAAACCCTGCTGCCATTTCCTACAATCTACACTTCCATTTATCTATTGTCTCTACTTTAATCATGATTGCTTTAACTTCTCCTCCAACCTACAAACTCTACATAAAAATTCCATATCTTCATTACTACTACTAGCTTCCTAGTATATTCCAGTCCGAAGTTCCCAAAAAGAACCCGTTCATTGCACCCATTACATCTAACAAATTGTGAACGCTTAACTCCTACACTAGCCAGACTTTGCGCTTGTTTGAATATTTTTCTATTTTTTTTTATATTCTTTGAAATAATTCGATTGTTCCTGATTTACTTAAATGCATAAAACATTTCAATTTATTTGTATGTGCTCTTTATTGCTCGTTTCTATGTTAGTTAAGTTGGTAACAATATATTTGATGCACACGTGTCTGATTTACTATAACAATTTAATAAAACGCTTGTTTGTTTGAAGTTAAGCACAATAGGCTATCTGTGCTCTGCCCACCATGGGTATCGAAACCCGGTTTCTAGCGTTGTAAGTCCGTAGACATACCGCTGTGCCACTAAGGGCTAATAAACCGCAAAATAGATAAGATAAAATTATCATATATAATGTCTTAGTAAATTGTTTTAGTAAATCGCACACTCGTGAATTAAATAGGTTTTATCAATAGTCAACTATTCGAAAGCGCTCGAGTTTTTGGTCTTATTTTAATTCTATTACACTTTATATGTGGTCCTTTGTGCTAACTCTTTCATTGAAATAGGTTTTATCATCTTAGCCATGAAGTAGCACGAATATTCCTTAATTAATGATTCGGTTCTATATTACCCATTTTTCGTGTTATCTACTTATCAACTACATTCCACTAGGTAGCGTCATATAAATTAGTGAAATAACGTCACGAGAATAAACAAGAAAATCAAGCTAGGCTAGGTTTAACTAAGGGAAGGAAATGTTAACGTAACAAAATTGATAACATTTGAAGGCTTTGTTCTGTTAACTTCAAAATTTCTGTAAAATGTGAATGTAACAAAATTTTAATATATATTGGATATCTATTTATACTTATATATATACACCACACAAATAGTATGTTTTTCCGAATTTATTAGATTTTTAATTTTATATAGTATAATTAGTCTTGACTTTGCTTAAAAGTTTGAAGTTGAAAAATAAGCCTAACGACAGTACTGTCACTGTCAATAATACGTTAACCAAGAATTTCGTGTTAACATTTTCCACAGTTTGTATTGGTGTTGCCTCAAAATACTGTGTTACTTGTTCGCATACTCGTTTGTAATTACATGGTTTAGTGCGCGAGTAACGGCATTGACATTTTTATAGTAGACTGTAGTCCTTATGACGTTATGTTCAACTTTAAATTTCAATGAATAACGTTAAACTTAACGAGTAAAATAATTAAATATTTAAATTAGATCTAACAATAGTACTATTATTATTAATATTAGTAATGCATTAAACCCTATAAGGCGTTATAAATAGTAAGCTGTAATTATCACATAAGAATTAACAGATACTGAAATAGTTCGATAATCTTCACTATTGGCATTGTTTAAGAAAATGGACTCTGAAGAAGATATTCCATATGATACTGACTCTGGAAATGAATCCAATGGCTTGGATGATTGTGAAATTGATGGTTTGTCATCAGGAATTGATATTGAATCCACAGCAGCAAAAGGAAAAATGGAAATTGAAGAAGAGGAATTTCACTATGAAGTTTTTTCAACAGAAGAAGTTGTCCAACATATGATTGATTGCATTAAAGAAGTGAACACAATTGTTCAGGTAGGTTTTAAAAATTATGGGTGTAAGGCTAAGTGCTGGAAATGAGAGACATTGAGAAATTATTTATTTATCCAGTCATTTGACTAGGATTGTGTTTATGGTCTTAATTAGCATAAACTGTAACTGAATTATTAGTATTATGTATAGTAATGGCACACTAATTTAAGCATGTATAATTGTGTTGTATCTCAAGTCAAATTTAAGTTAGACCAAGTAGATTTCAAACGTGTGCTTATGTTTGACATAGCTAGAAAGAGCCACCACTTGTATAGTAAACATAGATGTAGATCTTTATCCACAATTAGTTTCAGTTTTTATTCCTCAAAAAGGTGTGGTTTAATTTTTTATACAATATACTCAGAGCAAAACTAAAATTAATCTGGCAATCACTATCACTAATTAATGTTACTTTTCATATGTATCTATTTATAAAGATTTAATATATTGTTTCATCAGTTGGATACCATCATTATTAATGATATTTTGTTGCAAACTTATTAATATCTCATGAGGTTCAGGCAGCTTGTGACATTTACATTAGGCCTATATACTAGTTCTAAGCTAACAGTGATAATCAACATTTATAATATAAGTTTAATAATTGATGACAAATTAAAATTAACATAATTATACTTGATATAGTAAGTAGTATACCAATGTTATTAATGAAAGGAACAATAAATAAACAAAATGGTGTACCATAGTTGTATATCCACATGCATATAACCTAATTATATTTATAATAAACAGTGGGCAAGTTATTTGACATGTTTGAGCAAAAACAGGCCTTCCAACATGCCATACTTTCTTACTTTTTCACTACTTTCTTGAGGCTCCATTCTTTTCCCTTATTTTTAGGCAAAATTCCTATTCTTTCCTACCTTTTTAACTACATTTTTTGATTAATTCTACAAGAAATACAAAACTTGCTGTAAAGACATGTATAGCTGTATTGTAAGTGTAGTCTAACTGCCCCCATAATTAAGATTGCAAAGTGTTTCAGAATCTGGTGATTTGCACAAGTTATAACTTTTTGGTGGGATCAGAGACAGATACTTTCTTTTGCATGATAACTAAATTGTGCTCTCTACTTGCTTGTAACTAACTTTAGATTGAAAACAACCTCCATCCAAATGAAGATTAATTGAAGGATGTTCAAATGTTTTTTTAGCTCAATACATTTTGAGTTTAAGTATATGCACCAGCTTTTGTTAAGTTGTGCTTGACATAGTTATTGTTTGCATAAGCTGTATCTGAACATTGTTTGATTTTTGTGTGAATGTTTCTGTCAGTCATATCTTGAAATGGCTAGACCCTGATAGTTTAATAGACATTGTTAATTTTATGCTAATCTGACATAAGGCACTTGGAGTTGTTTTGTGTTCACAGCAGTTATATATTTTCAGAGTAATGTAGAAAACTAAAATAATACATGGAAAACCTCAAGTCCAGCACCAGTGGTTAACTTATGTAGAGAATAACATTTATGAACATTCATATTTGTGCCAGCCATTTCCAAATTACCAATTTCGTGGTTTCTGTATATTTTACAAATAACAGTAGCTTGTGATAATAGTGGCAAACAGCAGATTTGGAAACATGTACAGTGAGATATACACAAATAATTGGCTAAGGTGAAGTTTAATTGTATTCAGTGAAAATTGTCCTAGAAATCAGATTAAGTATGTATCTTTGATGCATTTTGTTTTCTATTTTAATGGCTATGACAAAGTAGACAATTGTATAAAAACATGCCAGTGAGTCCCCTATTGAATCTAAATTATCCCTACTTTCCCTACTAAAGGCCCTATTTTTTCAAAAACCTTGCCCTACTAGAATCCTGATTTTTTCTGAAGATCCTATTTTAAGGCCTGCAGTAAGAAAAAATGCTTGTAGTCATCCAGAGATTTGGTTAGGACATATTTTTGAGTGCATGATCAACATATTACTAGTCTTGTATATTAAAATGTAAGAATGTACACAAAACTAAAACATGTTTCACAGAATAAGCTAACAATAATCATTCTATATCGTATTTAAAGATAAACCATTGAAACATGTTAATTGCATGGTGAAAGCTTGGCAAAAGTAATTTTATTTACTATACTTGGAATTAAAAACGTGTTTATACCATTTCAAGCTATCTGTACAATTGAAAACAAGCTTTTCAAATTCTCAGCAAAATTTCTGTTTGCTGAGTGTTTGAGTTTTTTAAGGTTAATTATGCATAAATAGGTGTTTGCTTTTGTTGCTTGATTATTTGAAGTAATCTGAATGGATTGAATGGCCTATCTTGTTATTCTGAAGTCATTGCCTAGTATACAAATCCCGATTTCAGCTAATGTGCAACAAAAATTATTTATATAAATTAGTAGCTTTAGCGCTTATCTTGTATATACAGTTAGTTACATGGCTCACTTAGAATAAGATAGCACCGTTAAAATCAGTGTGACAACTTGCCTCCGAGTGCATGTGTTTTGCACGTTATCATATTCGATGTCTATTTAACTGTTATTTTGTATTAAAGCTATTTCAAATACATGAAGTTCCACTGAATGTGTTTTTTGGGTTTAATTTAACAAGTAACATAAATACTGGGTTTGAGATTAAGTTACGGATGTAGAGAGCAAGAACTCATGAACTCTTACATATACTTTTATATATCTGTTTACTAAAACTTATATAACTATATCACAATTTCTGCAATAATTAAAAAATGTTAACCCACAAATGTTTACTATTTGCTTTGGCCTATTTGGGGCTGAAATGAATCAATTCTGTACCTCACCCCTATCTCCACTAAGCTGATTTATGGGAATCAGCAGGTCTCTCTGCACAAGTAACAAACAACATGTTTATAATTAGTACTCTTGTTGAGTCAGCTGTTAAGTAGAGTTGTAGAGTAGACCCTTTAAACCATTCTTATCATTAATAAACTCAATGTGAGTTAATCTCTGTAGAGAAAACCTCTGTAGCAATAATTTTTGGTCTAATTTACTATAGTTAACCTTATAAGATTGACACTTGTTATGTCCAACAAGGTAAACTTGTGGAGTCCTATCACTCAGTTTTTTGGTAAAATTATAACTGAATTTGGTTGAATGTTGTTTTGGTTTTCATTTTCCCCTTTTGAGAAGTAATAATACTCTATAAGGAAAAGCACTTAACAATGACACAAAGACTGAGTAATTGATTATTAGCATTGGGTGAAGATAAAGATACTGTGTTGCTTTCAGTCCACATCCAATGAAAAGTACAGAGCTCAAGTTCATAATCACATTACACAAAATTACACATAATTATACCACCTGAAATAATGTGAGGGTAAATGGTAGCATAAAGGCTAATGTTGAGCAAAAATTGTGCAAATAGAGGGCAGCACAAGCCAAGAAAAAAAGGTATTATGTGAGTTGAGGTAAGTATCTTTTGGAAATATACTTTCAGTGTAGGAATTTGTTAACTATCTGAATAACAAAGGGTGGGTTTAAATGCTTACTATCAAGCATTGGTGTGCAAGGACAGCCTTGAAAAATGATATATTTCCATGTTGTCTGTATCTTGTCTGACTTTTTGTGTTTGAATTTTCTTGGTGAAATTTAATTTGATGAATCAAACTTTTGGTGATGAAGATTAAAACTGTAACTTTCTGAATACAATATGCTTTTTTCAAACTAAAAATTTATGTAGAAATGAGAGTACATATAATATATAGTAACAAATCTAAATGGGTTTTTTTACAGCCATTCCAACTTTTCTGACATGCATTGTGAATGATAATACATACTTACTAGAAATGTTGCATTTCGATGGTATGTTTTATTAATTCTCTCTGTCTCTAAGGCATAAATCAGAATTGTCTCCCATTTTCATTTTCTTTAAACAATATTTTTTGAAATAAAATGATCAAGAAGCTAAGTCTTGTGATTTTTAAGCTTTATTTACATGCACACTTAGAAATGTTTGGAAATACAAAACAAGTTATCCTTATATTACATTTGATATGTGAGACTACAAATAATTTGTAATGAATCTTCAAATTTTGAGTCTGAATCACTGTCCTCAAATAGTCTTTTTTGCCATAGTATATGGCATTACCATGGACATCATCATTTTCATCTTCATTATCTACTGCAGCAGCATTTGTGAGGTAATTTTTTTAATGCCAGACTGAATCAAGACCAGATCAATGATATCCCAGTCCTTTTTTATCCATCAGGCACTGAGCAATAGGTCTGGTTTCTTCTGGTTACCTGATGGTGTAAACACATGTGCTCCAGAGTAGAACTACTCATTCCACTTTTGGAATGTTCATCACTTGCAATTGGCCTGTTATGTCCCCAGGAATGATGACAAGATCTGTGTGATTCTCACCCAGGATATCCTTGATGCATCAAAGATTGAAATATTACACTTCCCACATTCCCAAGGAATTTAACTTTGCTTGAGGAATTTTATATTTTCTTGTTGGCTTTCCTGATTGAAAAGGCGAGGTCCATCCGTATTCCTTTATTTGTGACCAAGGAAAGTGAACATATTGCATGGATTAAATGAAAAAATAAGTCATGAGGAAATGCAACTTTACATACGGGAATATGATCATCCTGATAGCTTTTCCTCAAATGAGTGTAATTTTACTTCATTATTTCTATTCCTATACATGTCATTCTATGTCACCTGAAAGCATTGAGGATCAGCATACAACATTTCTCCGAGGGGACTCTGCACCACAAACTATGCAATTAGTCTTAAGTCAAACCTTCATCCATCCAGCCTTTTGCATGTGTACAAACAATTAAACCTTGTGGCCATGTAACCACACAACCGACTCAAAAATATATTCCATAACTTTTCTATATTGGACCTGGCTCCTAGATCTGAAAGTATTTGTTGAGGCCTGTCTTAATATGTCCATATAGAAGGTGGTGTTTACATTGTGTTCATTGCTTCTTCACATGCTTGGTCTTATTTGATTATAACTTGCCATACATGTAGGATTCTAG